GTAACAAATAAAGGAGAATGGCAAGATTCTAGTCAAGAATGATATTTGGATTAATTCTAGAATCAGAGATCCAAAATTTGAAGAAAACGTGAATCCTTAGAAGATAATCCTCAGATAATCCCAATTAAACTGGTTTCAAGACTAAAATTAATAGATTGATGTACCCCATTATTAATGTGCTAGAATAGCACGTAAGGAAATCCATTTAGGTTAAGAGACGTATCTTTTTCATAATCTTTTTGTACGGATCTTAGAATCTGGGTGGCATTCACTTGTCTATGTGCTATCTACTCATTGATTTGAACTATTTCCAGTTGATTGATTCATTGATTAATTGATCGATTAATTGATTCACTGGCTGATCTATTGATTAATTGGAAGTAAACTTCATGGACAACCAAAATCCCGCTGTTCACAGAATATGTATAAAAAAATACTTCATAATCTTAAACCCGACTGAAAATCTACAGAAAAACTATTGCAATTTCGAGACAAAACCATGCTTGACTAAAATTATTTTTATAGACTACTTACCATTAATTAATAGTTGACGATTAGTCAAGCCAAGGTCAATATTTCAAACGCTTAGTCACATAAAAGCGACATTTGTTGGTGTACCAAATTGACCAATTTATATCACATCCAATACCAAATAGAACAGCATTCGCTATGTCTATTGTCAAAAATGTTTTCATTGGATAAGAATACCAACTAACAGGGTTAAATTGGACCTAATCTGATCACTTACCAAGCCCTACTAGTTAAACTAACAAATAAATGTAAAACCAGTTGATGGTCAGATTTGAGATGATCAAAGCTCAACATCACACTTTTAACATAACATGTATATTAACTGTTCTTTCTACACTTAAACGGCCACTCTTACATTACCATTTCCCCTGATTTAGGAAGCCATTTTAAGGCATATGTTTGATATGTATATATAATGTTTGAAGCATACCATTATAGTTTGCTTTTGGGGTACAATCTTGTTGCTGTTGTATGCCCATATCTTAAAGGAATAATCCAAGATTTCAGTAATTTAAGCCGATTTTCAATAACATACTTTATATAGCCTATCACTCTGCTTATATGCGGATTACAGAGGCTATTGAAAATATTCAAAATCCTGTAAAGTTAGAATATTTGTCCAAACAGCTTAGTCTGGGAATAGTGTTAGTCAGCTAATGTGCTATAATGTCAAGCATAGGTCCTGAAACTGGCACCCTCTTTGACATACAACCATGTTTCTACAGTATATAAGCTGATATAAATATCTACAAAAGGGAAAAAACGTTACAAACTATGATCTTTGCATGTAAAGAATAATAATAAATCAGAGAGTGTTTTACTGTTCATATGGTTTATTTAATAACTTCAATGTTAAGCTATAAACATACAAGGTGTTAACATGACAAAATGTCACCACCTAGTTGCTCACAATATTATGAGTTCAATCTTAAGTAAGATTTTAAGTAACCCTTTTTAACCCCGAGAAGGTCATTGAAAGTGAAATCTCAAATCTAAAGTCAGATTTAAACTTCTAAGAATTTGTAGATTATTTTGAAAAAAGTTGGTCAATTTGAAAAAAGATGAAAAGGTAAAAAAAATTTGAGCTTGAGAATGTCATTGAAGGTCAAAACTATTGCCAGATTTGAACTTTTGAGAATTTGAAGATGATTTTGAAAAAAGAAATTGGGCAATTTGAAGCAAGTTGAAAAAAGTTCTTTTTGACCTTTTTTTACCTTGAAAAGGTCAGTTAAGGTCAAATCTCAAATCTTAAGTCAGATTTGAACTTCTGATAACTTGTAGATAATTTTGAAAAAAATTGGTCAATTTGAAGCAAGTTGAAAAAATACCTTTTTGACCTTTTCAACCTTTTTTGACTTTGAAAGGGTCAATGTAAAGTCAGATTTGAACTTCTGAAAACTTGTAGATGATTTTGAAAAAAAATTGAAGTCAGTCTAAACAGTATTTGTTAAGTTATTGAAAGTTGTAAGAATTCGTTACAGACACCGATCGTCAACCGCCAACCCCCATAAAAAATGGAGACCATAACAATATGACACAACATTTGGTGGTGACATAAAAATGATACAAAAAATATGAATCTAAATCTATATAGAAGATGTTTAAGATCAAGTCAAAAATATGGGGTAATTGTTGAAACCTTGATAATTTGTGACAAAATACCCAACAACATTAATTCTGATGCTACAACAAAACCTCTACCCTTTTAAGCCCATGCTGAAACCAATAGGCTACTCTCAAGTTTATATGTTAGCTCTCTCTCAGAGAGGTAAAGTGAAACTCTTACAAAGGGTTTGAGATACCCCCAGATTACATGTATTAGTTCAAAAGCAAAGCTAATAGACTGTGTTACATGAATCAATGAAAGTGTAATTGGAAATCTGGAAGCTCACTTTGAGCGCTCATAGAATGGTCATTCTTTCTATTGATTTTTAATCACAGAATAAGAGATTACTGAATTTCTCAAAGGGTACACCATTTGATCTCTTAGGACGTAACGTCTCATCTGTTGACAAAAATGTTTTTAGGTTGAGGACTACCAAGAACAGCTGCCAAGCATATTTTGGTGTCTAATATTTAAATATACAGGCATGTCCGAAGGATTTTGCAAGAGGAGGGCGACTTTAGCATGCGGATGGGTTATGCTGCACACCCACACAAAGTGTCAACGGTGCGTAATGGTGCAAGCTAAGGAGGTCTTATTCCCCAGAAAAAATTGAAGTTTAGACCCTCTCCAGTATATTCTGAGCATATCTGAGAGCAAATCCATAAAACACGCCCCCAACACTCCGGATTCCTTCGGACTGCCTATATAACTGAAGATTCCATTTTTTGTTCAAATTCACTTTTTTCAACATTTAGGACCACAATATTTTTCCAGAAAAAATGTGAAATCAAATGGTCTCTCCTTCATACATAAAAACAGCACCTTGCATTCCTTTACTGTTACATACTGGAAAACATGTTAATTTAGTTATTTTAGTTTTTTTATGTTATTTTTATAAAAATTTGCTCAAGGTCAGATTCATGAATTGTCATGCATTAGTAATTTTACTATTGATATCCATAAAATTCATAAATTGTGAATTGACACAAAAATACTTGAAGATTCTGAAGTCATGAAAATTATATTTTTGAGTTTCAAATCTTTTACAGTAACATGCAATAATGCACATCGAGAAACTGAGACAGAATATCCTAGATGCGAGTATAAATGATCTTGATTTAAGTCATTAAAAATTCAAAATTCAGTCAAACTGATGTCATATTTGGAATCTACATGTAAAATTACATCTAGAAATATGGCTTTGGAAAGAGTCTATCAACTTTGAAAATTTAATTTTCTTTGAAAATGTGACTTCTAGGTCGGGGAGATTCCCAATAGCCCCCATGTTGTAAAATCACAAAAATGGAAATATCTTTTCTTGTGTTGGGCAGATAATATTTTCTTTTACTGGACATATTTTAATTTGTATAACTATCAGATACATAAGGGTAGTATGAAAAATGAACCACTAAAACTGATGAATATTCAAGTTTAAGGGAATTTTGTAATACCCTGCCATGTTATTTCCCCCGAGTCAGCCACCTGGTGGCGAAACTGGTAACTACCTACTCGCATCTGAGTAATTAAGGGAGACCAAATAGATACTGCACAGAGGTGTGACTGCACTATAGAAGCTTCCCATATTCTTATATTCCCAATCAAACAAATCCATTGCTGTTTTTTCCCCATAAGTCACAGTTCTGTCCCGTTGGAGATGGTTGCCTAGCAACTGACTCATTTGTTTCCCTAACCATCCTGCTTCATTTCTTCTTATAAAGTGTTCTCACATCTCACAAGTTAAATGGTTATTATATGTACCTTGATTAACACGAGTGTAACTCTAATGAGATTTCTTCTATTTGATGCATAGCATGTTGACAATTCTTTAACTCTTCCATGAGTTAGTAATAAGTCTTAGTCATTTCTATCAATTTTTATTTTTTATTTTTCATACAGTGTTTGATATTATGCAGGCTGTGTCTCCATAGTTATCCTTTATATTTTTGTATCTAATCGAATAAATACACTTTTATTTTTTATTTCTCTTAGTACACAGTAGGGGTCCCACGATACATCATCTTCAATTTTGATGCGAGCAACGATATTTACCTCACGATACGATACAAACGATACAAGCAATCTTAGTGCATAACATATAAAGGAGGAGGGAAAGTATCGCAACAGATTTCGGACAGTCATATGTTGGATTTTGACTATTTTCTGAGGATTTAAACAGGTGCATAAAGCACTCCTAGAGATGATAAAATAATTTCGACTTTGAGACAGGGAAGATGCAAACTACCCACCCACATGTTTTTTCTGAAATGTTTTGCTGATTTTCAACCCCTTCCACCCCTGCTTTTTTAATTTTTCTTGCATAAATGTGTTGTGTTTTGACACACCCCTTAATCTAAAGGAATAAGTGATTCCTTTTAGATGAAGTGGAAAACAATATTTCCCATGTTATTCTACCAAAGGGAAAACTCATGCGATCCATTGGTTTCAGCTAATTTTGGTCACCCATAATGGATATCTTTAATATCCCCAGAAGGAATCACTAATTCCTTTAAAGGGATGAACTGTGTGTCAAAACGCAACATATCGAAAAAAAATTATCATACGATATAAGGTGCTTTTGAACATGATTTTGCTGTTTTTGGAAGTTAAAAATGATACAGGATTTTAACCAATGTTCAAGGTGAGTATCGAAACGCTCGTATCGTGCCTAATTGCTCGAGCAAATCCGAGCAATCGCGAGACCCCTAGTAGACAGGATAGAACTACTAGTAATCAATGCTAATTATTAACCTCCTCAGAGTTACCTCAAGCAAAAAATCTCTGTTAACGTCATAATGTCTTCTAAACTGAGTTTATGGGATTCACAACTAAAACAGACTTAAGAAAGGCTATTTAGATTAATTGTTTTTTTTGGTGTTAAACATTGTCTCATTATATGAAATATTATTTCATTTCAGAATTTAATCAGTGTCACAGGCTCTGAAACATATGGAGAAAAACTTTTCAGTCTATGATAATTCTGATATAAAATAATAATTACTAGACCATGAATTTATTCAATGCATGAAATATTGTTCTTTGGGTTAACAGTCAAAAGTTGAATATGTCACACACATCTGAAGAATTCTCCAGAAAGCCCATCATTGAAAAATTCATGAGATGTGTCACAAAAATATAAAATATATGACAGATTGAATGTTTTAAATAAATAGAATATGAATAGTCAAATGTGAGCTTTCACTTATTATGATACATTTGTATCTCTATAAGCAGTTTTTATCTGTTGTCATTTCAATTCAGAAGGCTCACAGCACATATCATTCATGCATTATTAAAAAATTACAATATTCTAAAAAATCAATGTAATTAATATAAGTGATTTATTGTTGTGTTAATGTGATATGTGCAGCTGAAATAACATATTGTATGTTAAGTCTACAATTTTCATTCAATAAATCAGAGAAGCATAAATCCTTGAGAGATGTGTTTCATGGGGAAAATTACAGATTGAAACATCACCTATATGTAGCATTGCCTCCTTTGGTTAAAAGAAATCTCATTAAGGTAAAAACCACAGAAGATGATGACTTTTCTTAGAATTGTTTAATCTATCTAGTTTTTATGTAAATACAGTGTAATAGGTAAATGACAATTTTCACAGGGAGATGCATGTGATTGTGATAACACGAGTTATTACCTTTTCTTTAGCAGGGTGCTTCATCAAATTTTCATCAAGGTGGCAAACAATTTCAGATTATTAACAAGGTGGCATATACTTTTCAAAGTTTAGGCACATAATTTTCAAATTTTCAACTAGGTGCCATGATCAGTTGCTTAAATGCCAGGTAGATCACTGATTTCACTCCCTAATTGGAATATTTTGTCGCTGAAAGAACTGGAACCAGATGTTCAAAAACCTATAATGCACTCTCAGAATACCCTGAATCTATGTTAGCTAGCCATACTAGTCTCTGATTAAAACAGATAATTTTACAGTTATTTTGCTGATAGGATCTCAACTAAGCTTGCATGATGTTTTACAGGAGTGGATGCATTGAATGTGTATTATATGAACTTTCAGGAAGGAGTTTTTTCTGAATTTATTCAAGAGTATAGTTGGCTCTTGCAAAGGGTAGTTCCAGAATAAATAACTTGTATGATAAATACATAGTTAACCTGAATCAAGGTCTTGCCATACCTGGATTTGGTGGAAAACATACTATAGATGGCAGCATCAATCAGAGCTAAACACAAGAAATTAAGGTGTTAGCTTTCTAGTGCATTGTGGGTTATTATTACCCTCCTTAGAATTCACAAGTTTGGGAATGTTTTTGATCACCTTTTTTATGATATACTTTAAAAGGTGTATTAATAATGACAATATTATGACACATTTGACAAGTGACGTATTGACATGGTAAAAAGATGTGACGAACCCTTGACAACCTGACAGCTTTGACAATCACGCTATGTGACACCCCTCACATGAACATTCTAAAATGGTGTGTTTTTCTTGTTAACTCAATATAAACCAAGCTCCCAGGAATACTGTTGAACTTTACTAATGACATACTATATATTACAGCAATATATAAATAACCTGCGATATCTCTTCATTCATTATCTTTGTAAATGAAAATAACCATTCCCTGTATTGACATAATTTGGAATGGATTAATTTAATATGTTCTCCTAGGTGGCAAATAATATTTTGTTATTTTTTGCCCCAATATTAATTTTATAATATTATTTGTGGTTTTGGTAATTTGAAATGAAGTACCATGAAATATGCCTTTATTCATTTATTTTGAAGTTTTTTTCTATTAAAAAAATAAGGAAAGTACTAAGCAAGTACTGATTGAATATACTGGTAATAGATAGATCACGGTTCATACCTTGGAATATCAGGCTGATATTTCTGCCAAAAACCCTATTAATTTCATGCAAAAATAAATAACCAAAATCATTCTTCAACAAGACTTCATTTTCTTCACAAGGACAAGAACTGCACAAACAATTTCATCAAATCAATTAATGACAGCTGCTTTGTCAACAATACAACATATCAGCACAATTATTTAGGCCAAATCTCCCACTGAAGAATAAATCAAGAATAATGTAAAAGATCTAAATTAGATCCGGTGCAGCAGTGTTTTCTTGATAATTTTGGTTTATTGTTCTCTTGAGATACAAGATCACATTATTGGATATGTCCAGGAAAGGAATTACCCTTTGTGAGAGCCAGACTCTATCTATACTCTGAATAATACAGAAATCCATTGATTTAGCCTACATCAAACCAGAAACTGTCATCAGAAATAATTAAAGACACTGCATTTTCTGCCTATAAGTAGCTATCATTCATTTCATATCTAATTTCCCATAAAAACAATGAAACCTTCACATGGTAAAACGTACGAGGTTTGTTTTATAATCTGTTTTATTTCGTTATTACTATAGTTTATTACAATGGTAGTAACAAATATGGGTGACAAATCGCTATAAGCTAGCATTATGAGTTCACCCCCGTAACTCAGAAATAAATGGCATAACAAAACAAAAGGGTTTGTGTCCCTTCTACCCGAATAAATTATTAGCAATTGATTACTGACCCAACCTACCTCGGAATGTCCGATGATAACTCTCAAGAACAATCATATGACAAATTTACAACTAATTTTCTTGACACAGCTAAAAATCATATCAGAGAGATTGACAAAAAACGAATTGTAAATCCGGTTATAAAATATCTTGAATCAAAAGATCACTGTACATGTTAAACACAAAATAATGGTTGCTTCCTTACCCGGATCTTGGACTTAACCTAATAATCTGTTATATTAAACAACCTTCCAAAAGTGTCCTTCTATGTCTGCCTCATATTTTCAATTTTAAGCTTCAAGACACTCTGTTGATTTTGGAAAAATGAGAAAGCTGAACCATAAGAAATACAAAAATATAACGAGGAATTCGCAGTAAATGATTGACATGATATTGGATAGAAATAGCAGGCTAGAGGACTCGACAGTTATGCTATTATGTTCATAGTGTTGCGCTTATTAATTTAATATTCATAGCTTTTCTTCTAACTGATTATCCGATCTATTTCATGATCTATTTCGCTAATTTCATAACCATGGTAACAGCAAAAATATTTCATCAGAGCATGTAGTAGGTGTTTCCCTTGCAGGAAAGTTGATGCAGACTGATATTCATAATATGGTAGTTCTGTGGTCATGAGGGGGGGGTGTCCCATCAGAAAAATAACATAGAGTTGTGCTTTGGAATGTAAAATACATAGAGTGGAAAAGGATGAAAAACCAGGAAATATAGTGAACACTCTAAATTGCATGAAAATATCAGCAAAATCAACAGATCAATCAGATTTCAAAGAAACAATGTGAAATATTCAAAAAACTAGGAAATTTTAGGCATATAGTATAGAATGATTTTATACAGTAGTGTAATGAGTAAACCAATGAGCGAAATGCATTTACACATGCAACATATTATGACGTTATATAATGGTTGATTCTGTATATCATGTTTATACAAAAGTATGATATATTCACAAGTGATCGAAGGGAATAATAAGATCTATATGGTCTTATTATCCCACCCTAAGTGCTTTATATGATTGTATAATAGCATTGTATAACTGCAATATAAAACCAACACTCATCGTATATAACTCTTGAGAACGATATACAACTCCTGGATAGCGTATACAACTCCTGGGCAGCGTATACAACTCTTCGACTTGATATACAACTGCTGAATTTAGATTAACCTTTTATTGATTAAAGATTAGGGTGGGATAATAAGATCATATAATGGTTGATTCTGTATATCGTTATACTCTCGTGAGTATATGATATATTCACTCGTTCCCTTCAGTCACTCGTGAATATATCATATACTCACTTGAGTATAAACACGATATACGGAATCAACCATTATATAACCTCATATTATCCTACCCTAAAGCTATATTGACCAGTTGTATATCAAGTCTAAGAGTTATATACGCTGCCCAGGAGTTGTATACGCTGCCCAGGAGTTGTATACGCTGCCCAGGAGTTGTATACGCTGCCCAGGAGTTGTATACGCTATCCAGGAGTGGTATACACTATCCAGGAGTTATATACGCTATCCAGGAGTTGTATACACTATCCAGGAGTTGTATATCGTTCTTAAGAGTTGTAACGACGAGTGTTGGTTTTATATTGCAGTTATACTATGCTATTATACAATCATTTAAAGCACTTAGGGTGGGATAATATACCATAGAAAACTATTAAAGATTTTTTTTTTCAATATACATGTATAAGTATTTGTTTGTTTAGTAAAACTACCACATATGATGCCTTAAGGTAGGCCATGCAAAATCAGATTCAGTCATTTTGATGGTTAACTACATACATTATACCCAAAGTAATCTTCACCTGCCTACCTTAATTGATCCATTTACAACACTTATTACGACATTTCTTTCTATTAACCAAATATATAAGTAAGGAAAATATAATCAAGATGATGAGGGAGCTTTGAATATTTAGACTTCTTACAAAATGAATGTTAGAGACCTCCTCAATTCTTCTCATAAAAAAAACAAATGATTTACTCAAGGGAATATCTCAGGTCACATATAGCCACCTCTGACATTTAAAATAAGGAAATCATTTTCTAGTAGACATATCATTTTGTTATTGTTTTGCTATAAGTGGGGACTATACTTACCAATAATCAGTCTCTCTAGAACTGGACTCTCTTTTTCTGTAAATAAACAAGCAAAATGTGGACTAAATGAAAACTGATGATAAGGTATTGGATTTATTCTTTGATGAGAGACTCCACCAATGTAGAATAATATTCCTGTGTCCGATTCTTTATGATATTATCTACTTATAGTCTTGCTTCAAAACTGTGAACCCCGTGTTTTCTTTACCCATACTTGTGTATGAGGAGGTGTGGAGTCAAGTCAAGGGGGGTGGGTCACAAGGGTTTGTAGCTAGACTTATCCATTTACACAGTATCTGTCTCATTTCTATCATTAATAATCAATGATTTAATTTACTGATGATCTTTAACAAGAATTTACATAATTTTAGGACAATACTAGGTCATGTGATCAACTCTTTTTATCAATATATGGTCACATCACATTCTTTTTTCAAACAGTTCAGATGTAAATTAGACAAATCAGATACGATCTAGTCTGGATATGTATTTACTAATTATTATTCAAATATAATCTCAAATATCCCATTATTACAAAACACATTTTCTTGAGACATTTTTTCAATTGATGGATAGGGAATACATATCATGTGCATATCACATTTTATCTGTTCACTTTATATTTAATCATTCGGTGTTTATCTATTTTATATAAGAGTTTGCATTAAAGGTATCAAATGGGTACTTATCACATATCTAGTTATTATCCTGAGGAGGCACTCTATGTTTACTTAAATGAAATCATAACATAAATTATAGAAAAAATAATTCATTATTGAAGGGCCAGCTTGATTTGGTCACAATCACACTTTCTGTTAAGTTAAATTATATGTATAACAGTGGGTCAAAAAGAAATTGTTAAATATACACATGCATTTATATTTTACTATACATGCTTACTAACTTTCCTATTTGGCAAACAATATCGTGTAGGTATTGACTTTTGGAATGCTTATGATAGTTTATGTTGGTGTTATGCAGGGTAGGCTCTTATGAAGGGAGTTTTTTGGACATAAGTACTGGCTTACTAATCACAGTGTGACTAAGAAATGAACTGGTTGGTTACAGGTTGCTTATGGATAATTTACAAAGTGATCATAATAACCAGCACAGTAGAAACAAGATTTCCCTTATGAAAAAATAAATCCAATTACTGCATACTGTGACAACATTTTATCATATGATACTGACCATTAAATAAACGTTAGTCTCAAAAATGTTCTTAGGAAAAAATATAAGATCAAAATGCCAAATACAAAATACAATACAAGGGTGGGGACATGCCTGTATTGGATGTTGAGATTTAAATGAACCAACCTTTTTAAGAATTTAAAGTATATTTTTGGATACTTGAATAAGCTGTTAAACAATAACAGTCAAATGCTATAACATCTTACAATAATTAAGATAAGTTGTATCTATAAAATTAAGTAATAGAGGTAGAGAGAAAAAACAATATTAGACTGAAATGTCCAGATTACAAATCAATTTACATTTCCAAATGTTTCCTTAACTAACAAATAGCTCACGTTATTGGATTATTCATTTTTGTAAGGTCTTACTTACCAGACCAACACAAATACACATATGATTACATTGTACATTGAAGTATAAAATATTACTTATCAATTACTTAAGACAGAAAGCCAACCAAATTTTGATAAAATTTATTAATAAAAAGTCAAAACACATGTAGTGTCATTCCGAAAGGCCCATTCAAATCTTCACTAAATGAGACAGAATAAAGGGGGGGGGTAGTATTTTATGACTTCAGAACATTTGAATATATGTGTACATTTATAGATTTATGTAGAAATAATGGTTTAAAATGCATATTAAACCATCCTTATGTTTTAATATTTGAAAGTAAACATTATTGAGAGACTTTTATTCACCTGAGAGAATGTTTTTTCACAAATTCAAGACTAGACTCTAGTTTTCTCATAAATTCAATTCAAAGAGATTGTATTTACTGAATCCTCTTTTTATAGAAGATGAGATAAACATTGAATGAGATACATGAACCAATACATAGAATATACATAGAATATACACTAGAGGACACTAGAGGACAAAGCACACTCAATAACCATGTCATGTAAATGACATATCAGTCACTACAGTGTACAAAAAACTACAAACTACAACTACATATTACAAAACTATACATCTCTGCATGATTATTTGAGAAAATATAAAACTGTTCACACTGTTACTTTTATCAGGTTGAAAAGCATTAACTGAAGGTGTTATATATATTGACAAAATACTTATAACTTGATGTATCAAACAAAGGTTTATTTTTAATAATAAAACATCTGATTGCCCAAGCATTTCCCAGCACAATAAAGCAGACCATCAAGTTAGCTAGTGAAAGAGAGGGATGAGACAATTATCTGAAAGTGATACTTATTACAAGAGGGTAATATTTGTATTATCGAAGTGGAATACTTGTATTATCGAAGTGTAATACTTGTATTATCGAAGGGTAATACTTGTATTATCAAAGAGTAATACTTGTATTATCAAAGGGTAATACTTGTTTTACTGAAGGGTAATTCTTGTTTTATCGAAGGGTAATACTTGCTTTATCGAAGGGTAATACTTGTTTTATCGAAGGGTAATTTATATATATATACATATCAGATTGAAACATACTTATTCAGTATTTATTACAAAATAATTATTCATTTATATATACAAAATATCAAGCATTATAGACATTTAATGATGGTAATACTTCCAATATCAATTGGTAATACTCAATCATCAAAGAATAATATTCCTTATATTATCAAAGGATAATATTTGTAAATGATCAACAGGATTATTTATAACATCTCATAATTCAAAAGATGACAAACAACAAAAAGTTCAACTTCATTGATTTGATATATCATCAGCATGCATCACTCAATATTCACAGATTCATGAAATGTTTGAACTATTGTGATGACAAATTACCAAATATAGAGAAATCATCATTTTTGTAACTGACCAAGGGTAAGAAATGGCCTTGAAACAAATCAATCACGATTGATTTAGATATAATTTCTTATTGAATATAACTTATCGTTATAGAATAGTTTTGACTTGGTGAAATCGGAGACCTTTAGCAAACATTCCTTTGTCAGAGTATATTGTTACACCATCAAATTCATAAAATCCATTTATTGGACCTTACAAAGATTTTGATAAAGAACACAAAATTTATTAATCATATCAATTTCTTCAAAAAGAAATATTCTCCTGATTTTCCACTAAACTAACTGGGTAGAACCATCAAAACATATTATGCTTCTATTGCTATTTCTCTCTATTTCTCAGTTCTGAGAAGAATATCATGTTTTACAAATATATTTATTGGGAACTTATTCACTGGATGCACAATGTTGCCATAAATAATATGTTTTCTTAAGAACTTACTGAAATGTGTAGAGGTTTAAGAGCCTATATGATGATGCGGTGTCAAATGGGAAAACAGTTCTCTTATTTAGAAAAGGTCAGTTCCGCCCCCTCCCTCTTTTTCTAATAAACCCTTAGGATAAACAATCAATTTTAAAAAGGAGTCTTTGAATAGTTATGACATATGAATAAATGAAGAGGAAATTGAGATTTTTGTTGTTTTTTCACTTCAGGAATACACATATTCAAAAGGCGCCAGCGTTTGAAATAAAAATGATGATGTATGTTTTAACAGCAATACCACCCAAAATGTAATTTGTGGTTTAAACAGATTGAACAAATAAGTTGATAAAAGTCAAAGAAAGTATCCTACACTTCAATTTGTAGCTTTTCTAATTCATAAAAGCTATTGAGACTTAATATGCATTCATAAACAAAATTTATCTAAAATATCACCTTAGAAAATAATAATACACTGACTGGCCTATAATTTTATGAGTATATCACATACACTAAAATTCTACAGACCAGATATCTTTCAGGTTCTACAACAGATTCTATACTTTCTAATCTACGAGTCCAAAGGTATGTCTCATAAAACAAATACACATTCCTAAAAATGTTAATAGTATAACATTGGTATAAAAAATGTTGAGTTGAGAATATAAAGTCAATATTGACATTAGATGAAAGATATTTTAAACAAGTAGAATATTGAATTGCAATTATGGAGGTTACTAGGAGCACATCTACGAGATGAAATCTGATTTATTGCATCTCAATTGATATTTTATTACTCTGACTTTTAAGAATGAGTGGGTGTAAAGACTTCTTCCTTGGTGGGCAAAATGTTAACTTTTAAGACTTTGGATTAATGAACTGGTTTTCTAGACTGCATCTTCAATTCAAAACTGTACTGAGACCAGTATGTTCAAAAACAATTATTTTTGCCTTCAAGATGCAAATAAAGTATTTCAACACCTGAGAATATAATTTGTTTGTGTAAATGTATAAATATTTATCCTATGCCAAGTAGAGTTTTAGGGAGATAAAAAATTGGTAAGATATACCCCGTATCCTGATATTGCAGTTTCCATATCCAGAACCTCCATATCTCCCACCATATCTCCCGCTTCGGTGCATATCTTCTCGCTTCGGTGCATTCCCGCCTCC